TCTGAGTCATGTTACGATTCATTTGAAATTTAATGCTGCAACCAGCAAAGGTAACATTTAGCTACATCATGAGATGCACACGATATGGACAAAAGTCTTGGGCCACATCTCTTTGTAAAATCAAACATCTAGCCATGCAGTCTGCCTTTACAGGCATTTGTGAATTAATGGGTCGGTACTGTAATAGTATGTCACCATTGCAACAAGTCAGTTTGTGACATTTCTTTCCTCCTAGATATTTGCGATTAACTGCAAGTGATATTACTGCAAAGTGGAAGAGCTGAGGAACCACAGCAACCACAGTAAAGTTACAGAGCAGGGTTGCTAAGCGCTGAGGGGTTTAGTGCGTAAAAGTCACCACAGCTCTGCTGACTCTGTAACTGCAGAGCTCGCAACCTCCTCTGGCATTAACATCAACACAAAAATTGTGCGCCCAGAACTTCATGGGAGAGCAGCTCCTGTACGCACCTTTGTCCATATAATGCATTTTTGTAATCACTTATGCTTCTCGGGGGTGACAGTCTATCCCAACTGTCAAAGTAAAATAAATCCTGGGAACATACTCGACAGGTTTCTAGTCCATCACAGTGCACGTACAAACACACCTAACCCTAAACCACACACTTTTATCTGCAGCGAATTTCCCCACATAGCCTAAGTCTTACAAATGTGGGAGAAAACCCACACAAACACAGGGAGATTAAACGTGGGAAATTCTCAACACAGACTACAAGGTCATCTTCAAATTGCATTCCAACTGTTCTGCACTGTTCAGCATTCAATTTCAAATGATTTCAAATATCATCAAAAAAAATCATCAAACCCTTGCATGTAAAAAGATGGAAATTAAGCTTGATTTGTGTTTTTTTTTTTTTTTTGCTAACAAATGACTTTAACCTTCAATCCACCAACTCATCTTTATTGTTGATCTATTGAAATGAGATGTTTATAAAGTATTGTGTTACGATTTTGAATGTTACAGAAAACTGTTGAAGTCCACGCTGGTGCTGATGCCTCTGTTTGGCGTCCACTACATCATATTCATTGCCATGCCATATACAGAGGTGCATGGGATTCCATGGTTGATCCAAATGCATTACGAGATGCTCTCAAACTCCTTCCAGGTAAAAATCCTGTGATGAAAATTTCATTTTATTCTGATATAAATAATGATGTGCTCAAAAAATCTAATAGGCGTGATTTTTCAGGATTTAAAATGTCCTAAGGGTTAACCTTATCACCAAAAACCAGTTAGTGAATGTCCAGTTGTTGCTTATTGTTTAGTTCTTAAGTTATGGTTAGATCCTAATCAAGATTAAAAGAACAACAGGAGTAGCTGATGACTGAAAATATCAAACAAAATGCCAAATTTTACAGCTAAAATGTTAAATTAAAGTGCATTGCAAAGATATTTCACTCACGGACAATGGGAGTAAAAATCACTGTTTTCTATATTGCAGGGATTCCTAGTGGCAATTATATACTGCTTTTGTAATGGAGAGGTAAGAACTCAGAAATGTTGCCTTTTACACATTTTTGACTCTTCTGCTTTTATGCATAAAAAAAAAGTATTTTCTCTTCTAAGGTGCAAGCTGAGATAAAAAAGTCCTGGAGCAGGAGAACTCTAGCCCTGGACTTCAAAAGAAAAGCTCGAAGCGGCAGTAACACTTACAGCTATGGACCTATGGTATCACACACCAGTGTTACCAATGTCACTGCCAGAGGACCGCTGGGCCTCCACCTCACCACGAGGCTGGGACCGGCGCCTGTGAATGGGCACAGGAACCTCCCTGGGTATGTGAAAAATGGCTCCGTGTCAGAGAACTCTATACCGTCATCGGGACAGGAGCTCCACATTCCAGCCGAAGAGCATTCTGCGCATACTCGGCCTTGTGAGGACGAAAAACCCTCGCCCGTGGTTGAGGAGGAGAGGGAGACAGTCATGTGACCTGCAGGACGCTGTCTTTGTCGGTGAAAATCGAGGAAAGAAAATCATCACGAAACAGTCTCAGGATGCCTGCATGCATCGACACTGCCAGTTTTTTTCTCCTGTGAATTGAGCCGGAACATTGCCAAGCGATGAGGCTCGAGGCAGAAAGGCCGTATCGCTTTTGCGGGCTTATTTGATGGGTGATGACTGTCGTTGTTGCAGCAAATAACTCTTTCACCAACCGCCTGCCACACTGAATGTGTAAAATGTTGAGAAGAGGACTGCCGTTCTTTACTTCTTATTCACTGCCATAACTGTTGTTATCCTTCATTTATGTTTCCTCTGGAAGCAATCATTTTGTGGTCATTTTTTTTTTGTGCATAAGTAAAAACTGGGGTTTTGTAGTTACTACAATGGGCAAGAATACCCTTAATCACCAAAGTAAAGCCAGGTGGGTACTGAGCGCTCTCAGAGGCAAAAATGTTGGCAATTTAATCAGGAAGTTTTGAATGAAGATTACGTGTGGCTTTAAAACTATTAATCCTACTTGTTGAGACGTGTTCATGTTTCCTGGTGTGGAATCTCATTTGTTCTGCATTGGATTAAATCCACTTCAGCGTAAAAGGGAAGTTACTCAGGTAATTGAAGTCCTCTGTTGTTGCACACCTATTTTTATACTGTTCAGGTGGTGTTTTAGCATAGTCAGCTTTTTGCTCCAGAGGATCCATGTGTGTCATAAAAGATTATTTTGTGTTTCTCTTCCGTTCACACACCCCTCCCCCCACCCAGTATTCAGTCCTCTGACTCCACAGATTTTGAATGGTTAAAATGAATGTACTAGTTTTTAGTTTTTTGTCCATATAAAATGTCAATACTCACACGGCCAAACTAAAAACACCAAAGTAAGAATGTCTTTGCAGACAACCCTTTTCTCTGAGTAACGTCATGTAACTCAAAGGAAAACTGTATATACTGGATATATTCTCAAAGTTGTCAAAAGATGAAGCCCTATTAGAAGGCACAGGATGGAGGCAACAGTCTTATTAATATTCCAGAGGAATATTAATTTAAGGAGGAAACGAAGAGTCTTAAATTCCCCGTGGGATTCTAGGAGTGATATTTGTGATGCTCTAGAGAAAAAAAACTGAAGTTACTACTACACAGTATTTTTTACAGGTAGTCAGTCCAGTGTTGTGCTGCTTCTATGATGTATATACGAGTCACGATGTTTACAAAAATCAGAGATACATTCTAATTGTGAGCTTAAAGTGTTCCTATGTATGGATATGTTATATGTTATAAAGCTGTTTTGATGTTTTTGTTTTTTTCATGTATTGGTTTATGGGATGTTGGCAATATTTGGTTATGTACATAGGCCAAAACAGAACAGTTGAATATCTTTGTAATTTACTATACTTAGCCTGCATGATTGGCAGGGTAGCTCACATGATCTATTATACCAAAGAGAAAAGACATGATAAGCTGCCAGAGAAGAGGTTATACTGAAGATTTTATTTGTATTATCCTCCACCATCACGTTTACAGTGACCAGATTGTCTTAATTTTGCAGTAATATTTTATTTTTTTCTTGTCTTTAAAAAAATCTTTCGTTTCATGTAAATAGCAGTGAAAGATTCAAAACACCCAGACACAGAGTAACAACAGACCAAAGCCTTTAATATTACATTTGTTGTTAAATCCTTAACATTGAAACTATGTTTCAAGATCTAACATTAGAATGATTCTGAATGTCACAAAATTTTCAAGCAGCAGCTGGCCAAATTTCTACATATTCTCAAGTAAATACTATTTAACTGTAAGCTCCCCTGCATGGCTCTTTGGGTCATTTCACACTTAGTTAGCCACCTCTTTAACTTAAATTCTCATCTGCTCAAGTTACTGCTTACAGTACAAACTGGATCCAATAGCACTAGAATGAAATCAACTTTACACACCGACTGTTTACCCTTTTAGCAAGTATTTAATGTTTTTAACATGCTTCATATTTTGCTATTATATATAAAAGACCAAAACCAAGAATGATTGAACTTACAATTTCAGTGTCATATAACAAATTCCCGTTTGCCATAGAGCTCCTAGCTGCTTTTGACAGTCAAAAGGAACATTTTCATTCTGCTATAATTATGACGTAAGCTTGACTGGATTGACTACAATAGTAATTACAGGTGGCTGCATGCCGCAGTGATGAAAATAGAAAAAGACAGACTGAGGGAAACCTTTATAAAGTCATGTTACCGTACCTTGCTGCCACAGAAGATTTAAATATCTATCATCCATTTGTATCCTTTATAATGGGTAATTTAATGCATTTCTCCCAGGCTTGTGACAACTGAAAGTTAGCCTAATTTGCAGACCATCAAAGAGTATACCATGTTACTGTTGTATAATCCAGTTTTTCACTCAGAGGTCGGGCAATGTCAGAGCATGAAGATCTTTTTTTTTTTTTTTTTTTTTGTAAATCAAGAACACTTGGAAAATTCTCTTTGACCACTTTAATACCCTTTAATATGGTGTTTTGTTCTGATTGTATTATGTAAAAAGATTGTGTTTTGGAATCAAGTGTACAATAGGGCCAATAACCGTAGAGCTAAGGTTGTATTTCATTGTTTCAAATACCTCTCATGGAAGTATAATGTGTATTCCATTGTCATTTATTTATCTTGTGCTGAAGTGTACTCAGTGGACTTGACTTTATAGTCTTCATGCTTTAGATACTGTAATGCGGGCAGTGACACATCATTCAGTCATTCTCTCTTCACTCCTTTGTGATGTAGGCATGTTGTAGATACCAGTGTAAACTTCAGATGAGATTGGAGGATGCTTTCTGATCTCTATTGTTCATCAGTGAATTGTGAATAAGATAATAAATCTATAATTCTACTGTCTTTTCATATCCTAATAAGACACAAACATCAATAATGTAATAATGTATCCGCATATATTTTATTATCAATATAATATACAAATTCCACTTTAGAAAAAGAGTTTCAAAATGTTCCCAGTGAAAAAATTTGATTTTTTTCTCCCGGTATTTACAGAAAAGCAGAGTTTACTTTTGAGCTTTCTTGCCCCCTCCTTTAGCCCCTCCTTTTGCTCCCTTTTCCCCTTTGTCTCCCTTCTCTCCTGGTTTCTTCCCTTTCCCGTCCCCATCTTCCTTCTTGGATGCTCCCTTCTCGCCTTTTTCTCCCTTCTTCTTTGTAGATGCGTCCTTTTCATCTCCTTTCCCCTCTTTGGCACTCTTGCCCTCTTTCTTGCCCTCCTTAGTCTTTTTCTCTCCTTTTTCAGCATCCACCTTCCCAGAAACTGTTTTTACCTCCTCAGTGGCTTCTGCTTTTGCAGCTGCAGGAAAAAAAAGAAAAAGGGTTAAAGGCTTCACAGCGACATCAGGTATCGTCGACACTCTCTGCCTCTAATTTTAATTGGGTGGGAAAATTTAATCCAGCGGAGTGTTGGGCTAAGTAGGTTGAATATAATGAAGGCGCATCTGTTTCCACCTTTTCTAATAACCATTGTCTGTTTATTCTTTTAATGGGATTGTTTGAAGTGCTTAACAGATGAGAACAGGAGAGCCAAAGTTAACAATCAGGTTTGTTTTCGCTCATTATTATTCAGGAGGCGAGATCTTGAGGCTGAGGCCAACAGAGCTACTGAAGATGCATATCGCATAAAAAGCTGTTTAGTATTTGAGAACGATACATTTGAGTAAAATAAAATGTATTTTTATCTTGTCTCATCTTAAATATCACCCTGCCTGGCTCGCTAGCCCTATATATTAGCCCTCGTCTTTGTTTGATTTTTGCCAGATGTGTTGCTGGTATAAGTCTCCTCATCTTAATCTCAGACAGACACTAAACAAGGATATATCCAAGGTTATCACACTTTATCAACACTAAGTGAATATAAACTCCACCAACAAGGATTGATGGGCACCCAACAATGTAACACTCATTAGGACCAACTGTGAAAATTCCTCAAAGGACATACAGACGACGAGCTGGAGTGAAATATGGTTTCTTCTATTTTTTCTTCTTCTTTGTATGATTTTTCCAAAAGCTGCAAAAAACACTGGCTATATAATCAAAGGCCAAGAAACCAAATGACAAACACACACCAAATGTCAAAAGCTGCCAGAGGGACTCGGAGTAAACCTAAGATCATTCAGTCCCCTGTTTAGCTGAAGTGGGTGAATCCAGCTGACTTAAAATAATCAAGCAACCATAAGAATGTCTGTGAATAGATTTCTTTGTGTTTCCATATTTTGAAGCTGTCTTCTGCTATTATCCTCGACTGTAAAGCTCTTTTCTCTTGGTTTCTTCTAGATCTATCAGACGGGTTATGATTGAACCTGGCGAGCAGAAACAAGCATTTAAATTTCCAACATTTTGATCCCATGTCCATCAGACTCATATGTCATTTAAATTCCAATGTCAGACATGTAGGCTTTGTGCCATTTTGCCAGTGTCCTGTTGTTTACTTACTGTGGTGGGTTAGTTTAAGGTTAAGAAAGGCTCTGACTCTCACTATTAAATGTCAGATGTTCAACGTGGATAAAACTGGCACAATTTTTGATAAAACATGAAGGCTTAGTGAATTTTAGAGTTGTGACATTTCGAAAATTAAAAAGTGACTTCCATCTCAATAAGTGTATTAAGATTTTGACAAATTCAGCTAAAAATGGCCACAAATACATCATAAGCAGTGAGTTTTTAAGAACAATAACTTTTTATCTTGCCCTGAGATGGGCTTGTAATAAGACTAAAGTTGTTTTTGGAAGTCTTTGCGCACTTTTGAGCTCCAGAAGCAGCAGCTCTGGATGAGAGATGATGGTAGATAAGCGAAGACGACAAATTGGAGGAACTGTTTCACAACTGTCTTCTGTGAGTGTTTCTGAGAGAGAGGGGGAGAGAGAGATAATAAGTTGACGCTAACGCTCTGAGGCTTCCATCTCTCACTGTAACAGTAGTTGAAACAGATACAGGCTGTGAAGCCAGAGATGCTCACTACTTTCTTTCCACAGATTTCATTTTTGGAGCCAATATGCTTCAAGCTAGTAGGTGCATGCAAGTGACACAGGATGCCCGACATTTTAGTGGCGCGAAAACCAACTCGGCTCATTTTACAGATGCTCACAATATCTGCCTTTTTGTTTAGCTGCGTTTTTGTTTTATGTTTTTTTTTTTTTTTTTACTTTTATGCAATGAACCTATTTTATTCCTGATTTGTAAACAGATCTGATTTCCACACACATATCCAAAAAATAGGAGTGGACACTTCTTGATCCTCATTTGTAACATTTAATTAATAATTCAGTGCTACTTTTACCGATTAGCCTACTTCGGGAGAGCATTTCATGAATTTGCTGTTGCTTTGCATAATCAAAACCTCATTGTAGAAGAAAAAACTTGCAAAACTTTTAATCCTGAGCTTCATATTAACATATTTGCTGTCTTACATTCAGCAACACAGGATTCGTTTTATTTTCTTTACTTGCAGGGTCATTTGGTTTGTCAGATTTTACTGCTTAAAAACTTGGCGTTGTGTCAGCTGGTTATATTCCCCGGAGAGAGGCAGCAATTTGCATGTTTGCTTGTGTGTTAGTGCTCCTCTTTTGTAAACCGTGTACTGTGGTGTGTTTTTTTTAGCACAAGCATATATGTTTTCACTC